TTGCCAAATGGATTGATCATCAGTGATATCCACGCTTTTTCCACATGTCTTAATTTCATTTGTTTGATCAAAGCATGTCCAAATTCTTGCTAAACTTGAGAGGGTAGGGACCACGGCAAAGTTTAGGATTACCACGGCAAAGAATAGGATGACCACGCCAAAATTTAGGATGACCACGCCGGGACCACACTGGAACCACGGATCACCATGACCCAATCTCATCAAATTCAAGGCCAGATCATTTCCCTTGGTCGTTTATCAAATTGGCATCAGTCAGGCCAGCATTCCCGTTCCCTGAAAGGATTTCCAAGTCAAGTTGAGCATTACACAGGCGCCTGGCACAGATGCAGTCTTATTAAGGTCCAACACATGTCGAGAACAGGTATAGTGATAGTGCATGAATGATCCATTTGTTTGTGGATATGCTTTTTGAATACTGACCACGGGCCATCTCTCATTGGATCCCTCGCAAGCAGAAAGTATTTGTTTCACTGAACGAAGTATGCCATAGATCGGTCTATTAACTATTCATCCTTCAGGATCGATGTGTGAACCATCTTGTGCCTCACTACCCTACATGCTCAGCCCCTGCGCATAGCAAAGTTCGGCCCTAGTTCAGTGTCTTTTGGCAAAGTTTAGCCTTTTCCTAGGGGTATCCTTTGCACATACTTAGACTTACCAGCACCACCCAAAGGGTGGTTTATAGACTCCCCTGACCCTGAAGATGTATTTTCCATCTAATAACCACCCGTTACCCATTGGGTAGTGCTGGTACGGAGGATTTATATTTTTGCACGCTAGTACGCTAGGCTTCATTCCTTGCCCACCATGGTTTTGAGCGTTGTTTTCATGTTTTACTGAACACTAGGTCCATCATTCTTTTAGTTGTCTTGGACTTCAAGGGTGGAGCAATATCTATTATAGAATTTATATATTAACTTTAAAATATACGATAATATAAGATATGTGATCTGTAATGTTTAAAATAATAGTATTTATGTGGATCCATTTCCACCCTTTGAGGTTGATGATTTGAGACGACATAGGCATTCAGGGCGAACCTGAGAAGGCATGTGGATCTATTTTTCGTATATATCCCCCTGCGACTTTGTCTGCAAAAACCTGCACGTCTGCCTCCATTTCAGAGAGACCTGTTGGAAGGTGCTAAGAAGAAACCCTAGGAGTCGAACCACCATTGATTGAATCGCCTGAATCTCGAAGGTTGACCTGGTACTACGGACAAAACCAGGTCAAACTTCTCTTATGGTGGTGAGGGCGACCGGATATATCATTAAAACAATTTTTGAGTGAGTGAGATCATGTGTTTTGGGGCTCTAAAGAATGCAGAAAAGGTGATCCATCACCGCTTGGCCCCCCCCCCAAACGGGGCGAGGGGCCACGCGTGTTCGTCTGGTGCGGAATTCTCTTTCGGTCTAGACCGGATGTCCTGGGATGCCCCCGGTCGTTCCATTCAGTCCAAAAGAAGACCACTATCCCGACAGGTCAGTTTGACATCATTTTGCCGGATTTGGTCATACCAGTTCACACGTCTTGGAGGTAAAGAACCAGTTTTGCTGGGTCAGGCTGGACTTGTAGGGCATGGTTCTCTTATTCTTCATGTCACGCGCCCTTTTTCCAGTCAGGATGTAGCTGTAGACAAAAAAGGGCGTCCCAAACAGTGTACACCTCCATGTCCGGGTTTGCCTCGCCAACGTGTTCTCCAAATTGTCTCAAATGCACCTTGCCACGACTGCTTTATGAATTGACGGTGGCTGCTGCACAACAAAAACGCTGTGCCAGCTGAAGCTTCGCCGTTGCTGCAGAACGTGGCCGCTTTTGCTTCAGGACTGGAGAAGTTGCGGGGACCAAATTTTTGGTCTCTGAAGTCAATTGTCATTTGTAAAGAATGGCTTATTCAGTCTCTGAGCCATATTTTGGTTGCTCAAATTGAGCAGCTATCTCCCTTTGGTGCGTTTCTTTGCCGTGCACCACCCAGCGTGTGGCTGATCAGGTCCAGTTGCTGGGTGAGGTCGCCCTCCATCGCGCGATCGCCGCGGACTCTTTTTTGCGCGTCGCGTCCCAGAATTACTTGTGCGCACCCAGACACGTCCATTTCTTTGTTCAATGTGTGCCATGTATTTACCATGTAATTTACCTACCTTGCGGTGGTTGAAAAGGCTTTCGATGCAATGAACTGAAACGATCTCCCGCCTCTCCGAACGATGAGAGCTTGGTATACCCTGGTGCTTGGTCTTAGCGTGCAAGAAAGCATGGGTGTTTGTTTCGGAGGGTGGTAGAGCTGAGAGCTTGGAGTGTTGGGATGATCTCTTTCCAATTTTCGATTTGAAGAAGGCATCCATCATTTTCGCTCCAAAATCCTTGCGTGCCTGCACCAGACGGAGTCTGGTGGCTTTCTTTTCTTGGCCGCTAGTGGTGCCAGGGTTTCCTCAGTTCGCAGTGCAGTTCCACCCGGGTTCGACTGGGTGATCTGAAAGAGGCTGCTCCGAAGTCTGACAAGATCCCTGGTGGTGTGGCTGGTCAAGCCAGCCATGCCGACCATTTGGCGCTATATGCCATGCCATGTTGCACGCGGTGGAGACGGAGACGGAGGCCTCGATGCCTGCCGCGTCCGAGGTCCGAGGCAAGGTTGGGTGAGTAGAAGATGTAGAAGATGTAACAATCGCTGATTAAGCTTTCGGTGAGACATGTATTTGACTTTAGGACTTGCGACTTGCCTTGATCTTTGGCGCATTTCAAGCATAGATGGATTTTGCGGCGCAGCTCACACTGAAATTCGAAACTACCCTCGAATATATAAACATTCCATTTGGTTTGGAGAATGTTTGTGACCGATTGCCTTTTTGCATATCTTGCTCTAGAGTTCGCATGCCAATCCCTGCATCGAACATGTGGAAGTGACCCTTCTTCCAATCCATCTACCATCCTCCGAAACCTCTCTAGAGCGGGTAACTCGGATATATTAATTTGTTTTCTGCAAGTGTAGTGGACCTTTTTTGGGGAGTTTGTGGCTAAGGCTAATGGGGGGCCGCCGGCCGCCAATGCATTTTGCAAATTTGGAGATGTGAATGAACATGAGAAGTAAGCTTTGCGATCCGTTCTGCAGATCAAACAAGGTTTGTGGTGTGAGTTCCACCGGATTGGTGGACGTTCAAGGGTGATGTGCTAAATTTGCCATCGCTTCCCGAACTCCGCCCCCCCCCCCGCCGTGGTGCCAATTGCGCACACCAGCAGCTCAAAGCAGAGGGACAGAGTCGGACAGAGCAACGACAAACCCTGGTGTTGACAACAGAGACGATGGTCTTTCCATGTCTTTCCCGAACTATGAGAAACCGGTCCATGAAAGGCACGAATTCTTTTAGAGTTCGGATCTCTATATTCTTCATGTCATCCCAGACACGACCTGCCTGGGACTGGCCCTATCTATATATCTATATATACATTCACCCCCTGAAATTCAACCACACCTGGCCTTATCTCGGCAGTCCTATGCAAATCGGAGGTCGTGTGGGTATATAACCGCATGCACACCTTCCCTTTTCGAGGTCTTTTTCCGTTCGACCGGCTCAGCAGGCCCGTGACGGCCCGGTCGACGACCTGGGGCGGTCTCTACCCGAAGAGAGTCCGTCCCACCCAGACGCGACCTGTCTGGGACTGCCAGTCCGGACTGCCTTCAAAACGGCCAGGGGTGGTGCTGTCTGGGGGTCTGGCTGGGGCGGCAGTCCGGACTGGCAGTCCCAGACAGGTCGCGTATGGGTATAAGCAACAGTTGAGCCGTCCTTGAGTCCTGCGGGCGGTATAAGCAACACGCGTGGCAACACGCGTGGCAACACGTTGTGACGACGTTGTGACGACGTCTCGTGCGGTCGGTTCTCCGGTTCTTCCTCTCCGGTTCTTCCTCTCCAGTCAATTGGGTGGTCAACAGACGGCCCTAATCCGCCCATACTCTTCATGTCATGGGACTGCATGGGACTGCAATATTTACATACATTGTTGAAAAGGGAGTGAATGGGGCAGTCCAAAGACTACAGTCTGCAGACAGGTCGTGTGTTCAGTTTTTTTTTCCAATCAGCCTTCGCTGTTGCCGTTTTGAACTGCTCCAAACGGTTTTTGCTCGCTCGCTTTTTCGCCCCGTGCGCTCTGTCCCCGCGCGAAACCGACCCCGCGGGAGTCCTTTTACCATCACCCACCAGGCTGGACCAGGATTCCGTTTTGCTCAGATGGGCGCAGGGACTTCGGCGCCGGACTTTCCGAATTCGGGGAAAGAAAGTATCAAATCTTCACCACTTCACTTCACCACTTCGCAAGGGTTTGAAAACCAGAAATGAAGTGAGTACGTTCCCTCGTTCGAAAGTCCTCGTGCCGTCCAAGCAAATACAAGCGTCCGTGCCGTGCTTAGCTCGCCCATCCTGCGGGATGGCGAGCTTAGCTGAAAAGAGGACGCACTCAGGGTTTCTGGTGGGGAGGGTGGTGGGAACCAAGTGTTGCGCAAGAACTCCGGACTAATGAACTACACTCCCTGCAACCATCATGGAAGTGGATGTCAATGGCCCCCTGGAAAGACCCTTTTCCTCCACAAGGGAAAGTGTCCACTTCCATGATTGCAGGGAGTGTACACCACCTGGGAAACCCAGACACTCCATGGGACTGCCATATTATGCAAATCAGTTGGGGTGGTTGAAAAGGGGTCAATGTATATATATGGTATACATGGAGTACACCACCTGGGAAATTCATCTCTCCGAGACATCCGAATTCCTCGGCGGAGTTCCTTTTGAAACGTCGCTCGCGGGGGAGCGCGCGCTTGGCTGCCACCCATGGTGCGTTGGAGCGACGGAGCGACGGAGGGCAATGGACCGAGGCAGACGAATGGGCCCGGTTTAATATTATATAGACACCTGTTGAGGAGTGACATGCATTTCAGCCACGAGTCCTTCAACAGGTGAAGATATCCGAGAAATCTGTGTGCATGTGAGCGTAGCCATCTGAAGGACCGGACTAGTATGTTGATGTATGTTTGGGCACCCAGACCGCTCCAAGCAGGCAGGAACTCAAGAAATCGGCCACATGAGGCATACGGGTTTTGTCCCAGGACCCTCCGTTTGAGATGTTTGTATATAGCCTTCTGGAGGTGAAGAGGTGTCCAAAAACGGCTTGGAAGGTCCTGGTAGTATATCCCTGGTCAAACTCCTGGATGAAGGTGATGTCTTCGACACTGAGACATGGTAGGGGTGCCATGGTCGGGTCCAGTCCAAACCTGGGGAGAAGGTACGACTGGATCCCTATTGTGGGATATGTATAACACAAAGCGTCCCATTCCAAACCTCACAATGCAGCATGGGACCGGCCTCGGCCTGGCCTTGTGACTTCCAAGGGAGGCCGGACCTGGACCTGTATCGAACAGATCAGTTTTTGTTCTTTGCCGGGTACTTGGCAGGTAATCCGAAGGTCTCCACCTACCGATTCCACACTTTGAAGCTGTTTTTGACCCGGTCTTCTCACGAACACCTGCACGAAAGCTTGGGCCAACGAAGACTCCGCTGTGTTCAAGGGTTTCTCCGCTTTCCGGGGAAGCTCCGCTCAGGTCGCTGCGAACTATCGGCACTTTGCGTCCGGCATTTTCCCCTACGGCTTCACGGTGACCAGTCACCTGGTCGATGAACATCTGGTCACCTGGTGCGTGCGTATCCAGACCCTCGGGCCTCGGGTCGAGTCGAGACCAGCGAGGGCACGAGAAGGTATCCAGAAGAGCATGGCATGGCTGAAGCATTGCTATTTGGGGCTTCAGTCATACCTTCGTTTCCACGGTTTTGGGGGTGCCAGGATGGTTTTGGCAGGGTCCCTTCTGAGGAGGTACTTGGAGCCCTGGGGTTACAATTTAAGGCACCAGCTATGATATGGAAGCCTGATCTGAAATCGCATGCGCAGAAGAGAATTGCACCTCAGTGAGACAGGCAACGCCGGACTGGGTAGAGGATAGTAGAGGGGACGCCAGCACTTCTCATTCACAGGCGTTTTGGCCGGTGAGAAAAACGTGATGTGTCGAATGGATGAATATGGCCAATGGTTGGCTCTAGGCAAATCCCACCGAGGCTCCAATTACCAACATTTGGAGCCTCCAAACCCAGCCCAAACTCAAATGTTTGCAACAACAAACGGGTTTCTCAAAGAAGCATCGGCAATATACAGCTAGGTTTCAATTTCTACAGGTATACTGTAAATTATGGGCTTTGCACCGGATAAACAGGGGAACACGAGAAACCCACGGTTTCCGTTACATCATGGGGCTTTGGGCGTCTTGTATGCCGGCCCCAACACAGTTCTTTCGGAAACGATGCCTTGTTCGGAAACGGTTGCTCCTCCAAGGGAGATGCTGCACGAGTTTGACCATGAGTCAGACCTTTGGGAACAAGCTTGTCAGGGTATCTACGCTGATCCTCTTTGAGCTACAATGTGTCACACCATAGACAGATCCTAATGAACTGGTGGGTGAACATATAGTTTCGACATGTTTTGACATTTCTTTATGGGGATCTTTGTTCTTTTCATGTGCACTTGGTCTTTGGTCCCTCCTCGGGGTCGACGCCCCACTCCGCTGCTTCGGCGCCTGGCGCCTGGCTGTCTCGCCACGTGTCTCGCCACGTCGCGTCGACGTCTCGGGCGGTGTCAAGGCGGCGACTTTGCGCCCGGCAGCAACTGTCACCTGGCGGTCGATGCGGAGGAAGACAAGGATCACCTAGTGAGGCGCGGGGACGGCGTGCCGCGGATCACCCCGCTGGGGAAGAAGGTGTAGGGGACTTCCTTCGTGTTTCAAGGACCAATGTGAATGGGACTGGGCCCATGAACTGTGATGAATGGGGTACTTGATCTGTAACTGCGTCATGAACACATGGGTCATGAACACATAGGGTATAAGGGGGGTGTTAACTGTTAACTCTTCAATCGTGGTTCTTCCGAAGCAGGCGATCGGAAGCGCTCGGGGCTGGGGCTGATGTGTGGGAACGGGAAGATGTGTGGAGACAAGTGATGAACAAAAGGGAGTCACTATAGCTAGGAGTCACAACACGGGTGGAGTCCATCGGCACCCCTATCCTTCAAGTTCGGCACCCTTTTGTGACATACATATGTACCTAGAACCTGAGTGACCCCTGTTTTGAAGGAGCAACCACCAAAACTATGGTCTTTTCTTATCGGAGGTCCAATGGGTTCTAGGTATATATTATTGTAGTATATATTTATAGTGTTGACACCATATTCCCTAGGGATCCTGTCGTTCCTTCTCAGGTATGGTGATTAGAGACACTGTTATGTAGGTTTGGAGGGTCCAATCGTACCGAACCTGAGAAGGTCCTTGGATTCCTAGGGATTGTATACAAAAAACCCTAGGGATCCAGTGTACCTTCTCAGGTTCGGTAGGACTGGACCCGACCATGGCACCCCTACCATGTCTCAGTGTCGACATCACCTTCATCCGGGAGTTTGACCAGGGATATGTATACTACCAGGACCTTCCAAGCCGTTTTTTGGACACCTCTTCACCTCCAGAAGGCTATATACAAACATCTCAAACGGAGGGTCCTGGTAGTTGACATGCGATGTCCCCAACTCTTCGCAGTGTCTCAAACGGAGTTTTTCGTAGATCTGAAGATCATCGACAGCGGTGCCGGAATGGCACATGTTGGCACCAGATTTCCAAGTTCCATTTCCCATACACTCCATGTATGCCATATATGCCTACATTGGGGTGGTTTGGGGTGTCAATGTAGGCATATATGGCATACATGGAGTGTATGGGTTATGGAAAGAATTGTTGCAACGCGGCCGACGTCCAAAATCCGTACAACAATGAAGGTGTGGGATTCAGACGAGCTGAGCGAAGGTGTGGGCGAGCGGGCACCAGGTGCCCGCTCAAAAGAACCTAACAAAAAGGAAGGCTGGATGAGGTTGGGGAGCATCCTCCCCTGAACATTTTTCATGTCGGGTTTCTTGTTGTCTCGATGTGGATTCCGCGTGAGAATCCATGGGGTTTTCCGGAATTGAGTGCGGATGCGAAGTTCCGAGACGTGAGCTCACAGATCCAAGACGTGAGCGGGGAAAGCCAGGATCTTTACCTCGCTGCACTTGCAGCCGGGAAGCTCGGGAAGCGAAGGGAAGCTCTGGGGTTCGGTCAGTACCGGACCATGGAAACGCGGACCATGTTTTCACAGATATTGGATGATAGGATGGGATATGTTACTTTAGTGCTGGGGGGTTTGAACATACTTTGAACAAATTCCTGTATTATTATGTGAAACACACATTGTGCGACTGTGAAAATAGTCCTTTTGTTGTTTTCAATCTGAACAGGCTACCTACTCTTTGTGAAATCACCCTATGATTGGTGCTTTTGGTTGATGACTCTTCTATTTCCTTGGAATATATATATATATATATTGGTTTGTTTTTATTGTTGTTGTTATTATGTGTCCTTTTGTGAGCGTTGTAATTACCTCGTCTTACAGTCCTGCGTTGTTCACCCTTCAATTCAGCAGGGTAGGCCCAACGGCCACTTGTCTCACCCAGACTAAGGTGGCTTTGGCACAAAACAAACTTTGTGGGTGGCAACATGTTCTCTGAGCGGGTTTTCAATCCAAAAGGTGTTTCTTCATCAACGCCAGATTTTGGTTGCCACATATCCAGACTGTTTCCATCCATTTCCCGAGAACCTTTGGATCCGAACACCGGCTTTCAACCAAAAACAACGACTGTAATAGGCTGTAGGCACTGTAGTCACTGGCATCATTGCTCTGGCCGTTCCAAATGTGTTTTGCACTGGTTTTTGCTGGGTGACAAGAGTGAAGCTAGCGGTCAGCGCGCGGTCGGTGCTTGCGGTGCGGTCAGTAGTTGTTTTGGGGCTTCGAGTTGCACTGGCGCTCCCCAAAATCCCTAACCCCCGACTATTCCATGCATATGCATGGAATAAATTGACCCTTACCCCTACATCTCCAAAAATCGCCCATCCACGGGACGACCACATGTTCATACCACCTTCCAACAGGTGGTGCTTGAATCCAAGTCCGACTGGTTTATGGGCATCGGATTTGTCACCAGGAAACACTTGTTATATATAGATACATGAGATTGTGATGATTGTGTGGGAGCATCACCTAGAGCTGGTGCTCACGAGAAAGAGCTTCCATCTCGGAAGCTACAGGAGTATCCATATTATTCCATCACCCAGACACTCCATATATCCAAATATATACCGGGCCCCCCCTATGAGGGGTGTCCAATTATAGTTCAGAGCTTTTATTGCAAGGAAGCACCATGGCCGCTACGGGGATGATTTGCGGGGAACAAGATAGGGGAATCCTCGGGGGCCCTGCCGATCGCCGATTCCTAGGCGGCTGCGGAAGTCCACGCCGCCGAACCACACGGTGCCCAGTGTGATGAGCACACGCACCGGCAACAGGACCGGCCTGGCGGGGTGAGACGGAGTGATGAGAGGTTCTTTGAAGAAGTGGTGAGTGGCTGGGGATGGGCATCAACCTTACACCTTCCTTACAGTGGGGGTAGTGGATGGTTTTGGAATGGAGCAAACGCTTGGCAAACATCCACTGGCACCGTACCTTGGAATGGGTACGACTGGACCGCTCCATGCCTATGTAAAAGTGTCTCCAATCACCGTAGCTCGGAGTGTTTGGGGGCGGAGTCTTAAGACACGCGCCGCGGTGTTGCTGACACCGAAGATGAAAGACCATATGCATCCATAATATGCTTGGGCCTGGCCGGCCTTCTATTGGTGCTATTTCGGAACGGGGAACCACCCTCAGATCCAGTGAAAACATGGACCGACCGCCTGCAAACATGTTCCGGCAAGTTCCAAAGCAGTGGTTCGTATCTAAGTGAGTGGATCATGGGCACCCCTACTCTCCAACTTCATAACCCTTAACGGAACTCATATAATTACAAGTACTTTTTTCCTGACTTGTACAGTAAGTACAGTATATACATGCATATACAGTATATATAATAAATACCTATAACCTCTTCTTGGGCAGACATTTCTGCCTATTATGGGTAAAGGCGACTTTGCCCGTGCTTAGGCGTTCTTGCCCCCTGTAGGCGTTCTTGCCTCCTTTGGGCGTTCTTGTCCTTTTGGTGGCATTGCTCAAATAGATGAGGATCCACCCACCACTGATTCCAGGAACTTTCATAGTGAGGTACAATTGTTTGTCAGGAATTCACTTAATGTTTCTCTTGTGATTTCTTTTGTATGTTTTAGTTTTTCTATGCTTTGCTTTAATATCTTTTTTGCGTAGGTGTTCTTCCCGTCACTTAGGCGTTCTTACCCGTTACTTGGGCGTTCTTGCCCGTTACTTAGGCGTTCTTGCCCGTTCTTGCACTACAATCAATAGTTGGGCGGACAACGGAATGGTAGCCTTTTGGGGGGAGTGAGCGACATGAGTTTCAATAACTTTAGACTGGGGATTAGCGTCAAGTGGCAGGCGTTTGTTTTCTCAATTTTCGTCATTCAAATTCTGGCTCTGCCTCCTGCATGTAAGAATGCATGTGATTGTGCCTCGGCATTTTTGACCCTCGAGGCTGCAGCTTAGGCGTTCTTTGCAAAAACGGGCTGAATTTTCTGCCTAAATGGCGTTGGGCGGAAATTATTGCCTAACGAGGTTCTAGGATATATCATGTTGTATCTATTTAGACTCGAAGACACGAAGACACGCGAAGACACGAAGACACGCGAAGACACGAAGAGGCTTCAGATCTTCAAGGCTTCAGGTCGTCACTAGGCTTCAGGTCTTCAAGGCGTCAGGTCGGAACTAGGCTTCAGGTCTTCAAGGCGTCAGGGAGTCAGCAGGGCTTCAAGGCGTCAGTAAGGACTCAAGGCTTCCAAGGCTTCCAAGGCTTCATGTCTTCGGAGGAAAGTCGCCCGGGATTGCCAACACACTGTCTATTTGGTCTTTGACATGCTTTGTTGCCAGCGGATCGGGCTCTGGGATGATCCCTGATCCCTGCATTCTGAGGACGCGCACCTCCCTGGATGCCATCACCGACCGCGTACGGAGCTTCAACCGGTCGGGGGCCACGGGGGGCATCGCTGAGGTGCGCGGTGTTTGTTCCGACCCTGATACCGGGCCCTTTGAGAGGTCAGGAGGGTCCGGGCCCTTTGACATCATTTTATTGGTGGGTTGCTTTTGTTAGCACGAGGCTCAGAAATGAAGAATGAGGTCTGGGACCAGGGCCATGGACAGGGCAGACTGGACCTTCAGGGTGGGATTCAGCACTGAACATATGTTTTGAAACAATATTTGTGCACATCAAGTATTCCATCCGGACTGCAATGAAAAGAGAGGTCTTAGACTGCTGGTCTTTCGTCAGCTTTCCAGCACCTACAGTTTTCGAACATCCAAGAAATTCGTCAAACTTCCGGAAGTCACAAAGGGACGGTGTTGAAGTTTGGATCCTGTAAGTGGATGTTCTGGGCACCCCCCAAACCCTCCATGAAACTTCCATGGAGCTGGTGGGACCGTGGGAATTCCCCGCGCCACAACCGCTCCACCAAAGCGCCGCGCCCCACTCCACCAAAGCGCCGTCCGCCCCCAGGGCCACGACGGTGTCGATCACCAGCCGCTTGCTGCAGCGGAGCCCCTCGTCCAGTGGCAGGCGCAGATCCGAACGAAGGGGTCGCGACGAAGGGGGGTCGCGGGTGGAAGGGGTCGCGTGATCTCTCAGGGTCCATCTGCTTGCTCCTGTGGGGGAAACCATGGGGTACCTCTTTGGGAATCTGGACTGGCCGATCTGCAGATTCTTTGGAGGGCCCCTTGCACGACCTCCGGGACTAGCATATTTGCAGGTACACAACAGAATAAAACTATGACAGATTATAGATTTGCATTGGGGTGGTTGAAAAGGTCAATGTTGTAGCACATAATCCAGTCTTTGGTTTTGTGGATCATGTGATTGTTTATTTTCCCGAACTGGGTAAATCCCCAGTTTCCCGGGGAATATGTTTTTTTTTTTTCCAGGTTCCTGGACGGCAAACCCAAGAGTCCCTTGTGTTTGGGATCTTCTTAAAAAGTTGGTCCCCCCCCCAAAAAAACATGAAAAAATAAGCGGGGGGAGGGGTTGGTGCATCACCTACTAAGGGCGATCACCCAGCGGGTGCATCTGTAGCTCGTTGGAAAAACACCTGCGTGTGTGCGGTCCTAACCTGCCCAGGATGTGCAATCCTTAAGCTTGGGGCTGACAAGGGAATAGAAACAAAGGAAAGCTAACACTGTGACTGAATATCTGTAATTACAAAGAACTGCACTTCAGTGCAAGGCCGCGGCCCACCCAAAAGTCTTCCTGCAGGGAGGCGATCGGGTTGCAAAGAGCCTTCGTTCCGAAGGCAGAGCAGATGCAACAACAACGGCGTTTTGTTGTTCCTTCCGACAAGTCGTTGAGACGCCCGATTTCACGCATACGTATGGTTCCATAGCAAGTAACATGTCGGGTACAGTACATGATACATCATGATACATCGCGCTCGGAATCCAACATCGGTGCTTTCGATGGAGTCGCTTCGTGCTTTCGATGGATGCCACATGCATGTGGAGACGGCGTTTACCGTTCCTTCACGGCGGCGATGGGCTCCTTAGCGGTGCGAAGCGGTGCTTCCGTGGTGCGATCAGAGTGAACAGGATGCAAAGAGTGAAGAGAGCGAACTTCGCGATTTCGGTTGCGCAAGGTTTGGACATTGACACTGCTAGAGCTGCTAGGTGGCGCCACATATATGTTGTTTTTGTTGGTAAGAACGATGGAGTTTTGCGTTGGCTGTGAACAAAGTTCAGGCGGGGACACATTATGCATGTTATGAAAGGTCGAAATGCATCTAAAATATGGACGAGGCAGAGGTTTCGATCCCAAGTGCGACTCAACACCTTGTTCTGACCGTTGTTTTTTTTCAAAGACCAAGTGCAATGATTAAAGGTGTTACAGGCAGGTGCAAAAGCTCACTAAGGATTCCGGGTGGTCCATTCATAGTCCCTTAGAGGTTAGTCCCTCGTGTCGATTCACGACCGCGGCCAGGGGTCCTGGTCGTTCGTTTTTGATATTAGGTGGATGCCATTCCTTCTAGGTTGGAGGCCATTCCAACTAGTAACAAGAAGCTACTAGTAGCAAGGACGCTATTAGGTGGAGGCCATCGTAATGTTGTTTTATATCCTTACGCTGTGAGGGTGTTACATGCTGGTAGATTCCGTGCGAAGATCAGCCACCAACAGCACTTCTCAGCAGCGAAGACCACCAAAAGTGGTTCATGTGGATCCAGGTCAATCGCTTCGAACAGGTATTGTTCACCTTACTCGTGCGCCTGCGCACCTTGGTTTTCCGCGTTTTGGGGGACCCTCGTGTGTTAAGATTGACATGGCCATTGATGCAGAAAGACCTTAAAATGGATTCAACTGACAGCCATAAACCGATTCTGTATGCTTGACACCTCTAGTCCGGACATCTTCCTGCGCCTGTCCGCGTTGTCCAACGCTTTCATCCAGTGCTTGCAGCCAGGACAGTGGGTTCCCCCTTCTCCAAGCGCTCACCAACCACTGGGCAGGCGCCCAGACTCGTCAAACCCGAAGAAACCAAAAACGGTTCAAAACCGCTCATCGAGTGGTTTCGTTTCGTTCGTTTTGTGTTTGACTGCTCCATTGGGATCGACGGTCGCGCCCCTTCGACCGGGTCCCTCACACTTCCTCGGATCCGTGGTTCGGGGGGCGCCAGGAGCGCCGCGACGGTTCGCGGCGGGAAGGATCCAGATCTCTTCCCGTGGCGAGAAAGGGGAAGGTGTTTTTCAGCGCGGAAGCTCCCCACATCGCTCGGAACATGCTGGGACACGCAAGGATTTTCTTGGAGTGGTTTTGACAGTGATGATTTCGAGTGATCAGTGTTTGGGTTGAAGGATGGGATGAGGTAAGTGGCTGGGACCAACGAGACATTTGCGGCGAAGACAGAGCAAATTGCAGAGTGCCTTGACCATGCCATGAATATGATGATCAAGAAGAA